TTGAGAAATTCCTTGAATTCGTGCTCAGCATTGGGCTTTTGTATAGATGTTTAAGTGTTTTGTTATACGAGTTTAGTCCCCAGAAGCCGTAGCTGAGAAAGGCCTAGCTTGTGCCACAGGCGGGCGGTGCTGGCCCCTTGCTGGGGTAGCACGTGCAAAGAGGGACTGTGCTATTGACGTTTGGTGGCATTGGGGACAGCAGTGCTTGGGGTGGGCTGTGGGAGGAATGCCAGGGTGCCCAGACTCTGTGACCGAAATCCACCTTAGGCTGTTGCCCAGATAACTGGGCAGCAGGATCCCTCCTGCTGTGACCAAGAGCCTCGCTGACCAGGTGCCCCCTTGTATTGCCATCAGCTGACGTGCTGGCTTTCCACCCAGTGCATCTCCGTGTGGTGATGGACTGCCCTTCGCTAATTGGGGGCGGCGTATGGATCAGTGAAGGAACCTGTTTAATGCTTCTGATGGAGGCTTGAGGTGGAGGGGAGCACGGGTGCGGCTGGCAGCCGCCTATCTGACCTTGCTCCCTGGCACGCGCCGGTGCTGTCATGGCGTTAGCAGCAGACCTGGCGCAAGTACGGAGTCCTTCCTGAAACGGCAAAAGGGGTTGTGTGGGGCAGGGACTTCCCTTGTGCTGAGAAGTCGGTAGAGCTGCGCAGAAGTAGCTGCTGCTGCGGGCTCTGGACGGAGCCGTATTTCCAGGGATTAGCCAGCCAGAGCGTACAAAGCATCAGCGTTCAAAAGTAAACTCATAATGGGGACTCCTGCTCCTACGCTGATCCTGAGTAACATCTGTGCTTGTGCGTATCCGTGGCTTGGCTTCTGTTGTTGTAGTAGCAAATGCTTTATCTTTTTTCGAATAGGGCTCTGCTAGTCTGGTGGGTCTTTGGTTATGTTTTTTCTCCTCCTGTCCTCTTCCCTTTCACAGGTTCACAGTCTCTTACTCCTTCCTGTTCTCTTCTTGACCGATGTGCTCGCCTTTTCTGCAGCCTCATTCCCTTTTAGACTTGGGTCACAATCTTTGCCTTGCTTTGCCTCTCACTGGGGCATTGGGAAAATTGCTTATTTGAAGAGGAGAGCCTTTTCATGGTTACAAAAGGGAAAACTGTCTTCTAGATCCTGCTCCTGTCATGATCTTAGCCATACGTAATCAGATTACTTGCCAACTGTAATTTAGACTGTCTAGACATCGTTGAGGAGCAATAGTGTTTATGCGAGTTTTTAATACATACTGCCAAACCGGATTTATAACAGTGAATATAGATTATCCTTATTTTACAGGTGAAAGCAAATTGGTGAGGGACAGGGATGGGATTTGTTTTTCCAGGTTTTCTGATGCTTGTTACCACAGTGTATCTTTGCCTTTGGACCAGATCTGTGATCATATCCGCAGATTTTGGGTTCTTAAGATGATTGTGTTTATTAAATAAGTAACTGCCCTTCAGAGATAATTTTTTAACCTACTGTTCAATAAAATCTTGCACTGAACCAGATGGGCCTTGTTTCCGCAGAGGCTGGCCGGGATTAGTCCTCTGGCCCTGCTTGTTCTGAGGCTCTACGGGAGCTTATCGCAGGGGGTGCAGGGACACACAGGAATGGCTGGAGGTTGGTGAGAGGAGGGATGGGGAACGGCATGAGACAGCATTGCCTCAGGGACAAAAGCCTGGGAGCCTACAGACATTTAGGCTTCTTGGTAGTGATTTCAGCAGCACATGTAATGATACAGCAGTCACTGGGGGATTTTTATCAACTTTAATTTCTGTAACTTTCCACTGATAATCCTGCAGGAGCAGTAATGTGTTTGGGTGTGCTCTGGGTCAGTCAGCATCATTACTCCACAAAGGGATGTTTGAATAATATGGAAAGTAAAACTCATTTAGAACTAACTTCATCTTTTGTATTTTGGCAGGTTTAAAAAATGGCTGAAGATGGCAGTGATGAGACTATGTTTATTTGTAAGTATGAGAAAGGAAAGTGATCTGCTTCTCATGATATGACTTGTCTACCCAGAATGTTTGAAATTAAAGACTAAAACAGACTAAGTTTTTATTTAGAAAAGTATTTATGTAAAGGAAGCTTAAACAGCTTTTGGAGGAGTAGAGAGAAGGTTGCTAATTTTAAACGTACACATTCTCATGGGTTTGTCAGCAAACACACAGAAAGACCTCTGAATGTAAGTTAGCAGAACAGCTTTTTCATGGTTGAAGTAAGTGAGATTGAAGGCTTAATACTAGTCTAAGCCCTTTGTTTGTACAGCCAGCTTTAGCAACCAGAGGTGTCTGTGGGGAACTCTGACCTCTAGCTTGAGTTGAAGATCTGCACTTGTTATTCTTTCTGGACAAGCCCAGTCTGGGATGTAATGACTGCCCTGACAAGGCTCGCTCATGGCATTTACTGTTTTCTTGTGCCACTGCAGCTAGGCCTGCGCTTCATGCATCTCAGCTTTGTGATCTGCCTTCTGCGTAACCCTGCACACCTGACTGGGCTCCATGACCTGGGATCCAGACTCATGAGGTCATTGCATGTGAAGGGTGGCTGCAGCAGTGGCGTGCCCAGGTGGTGTGGTGGGCAGAGTCCCATGCTTGATGGAGCTTGGCTATTAGGCTCATTTCCCAGTGGTGTACTAGCCCTGCAACCTCTCCTTTGTCACCAGCCTGGACATGCAGGATCTGGTACTACAGTGGGAAAAAAGTTAAGAGATGTAGAGTCTGCTTACCTACTTGTATGAGCAGAGAGGATACTGTGGGCCCAGTCTGGGAAGGGCAGCACGGAACATGTCTTTGGTGATATGGATCCATGGTCTTTTACCCTTGATGGCTCCACAGATGCACATTAACCTTATGGCAACTATATCAGAAAGCAAGTTGCACTTTTCCTTCCACCACAGACTCACCAGGCTCCTTCAAAGATAGTGTTGACTCAATAGGCATTTTTATTGAGTCGCAGATACCAGTGGTAAAGTTACCTTATCTTCTCCTTCATAAAAAGACCCTGGTGGATAGCAACGAGGACTGGGATGTGATACCATTCCCTAATTGTACAGATAGAAGGTGTCACACAACGTGATTTTCCCCCTTCCAATGGAGGCTGTAGTCATTGAATTTCTTGAGCTTTCTTGTGCTCTCTATAAGTTTTTTTCCCATGGGATATGGGGACTGCTTACGTTCTGAAAAAGTGAGCTGATATAAATGGTATTGTGCACTCCCATAGTTAACATCATTGAATATGTATTTCATAGACGTAAGAGAGTTTTGGAATATTTTTGGTAGAAGTCTGTGAATATACTCCCCCCCAGGGTATTTTAACATTTAGCCCCCTGTTTTGTATTTCTCCTGTGGCCGTAATCTCTTGAAAGTGATGCATGTGGTGAGTGTAACAGCCTTGGGGAATGCCTGCTGTAAGGCATTCCTTAGATTTTGAGAGACGTGCTATACTGTGTTGATAGGATATTCCCCTTGCTTTGATCATTCATCCACAAAGGAGTGAGAGAAAAGTGTAGCTTATTCCTGGATGCAGTTTTGGACAGTGCTGTCCACCTGTGCAGTGGCTATTTTTGCAGACGTGAGGAGTGCCTAGGTACAGCTGAAAGATAAGGGGAATGACTAAAAGTGCTTAGTTTCCTTTGGCGGCAAAGCCAGTTTAAGAAGCTGTCGCTCTGGCTATTCCTTCCCGTCCCCGTTGGTTATGACAACCCTTTGTGGATGCTAATCCAGTTCTTTTCAGCAATCTGGTTTACACATTCCTCTGTGGCTCCTCCACCCTCTCTGGTTTTGGAAATTTGTATTTAGCCCAGGTTATTTCAGTAATATTAAGCACAGTGTGAGCTACAGGCACACCTAAGAGGGGTGGTGGTATGGTAAACAGCACAGGATGGGGGAGGCCATTTGGCGGTAGGCTTAATTTTGATGCTGGTGCAATGTGGATAGCACTTGCCCACTGACCCTTTCCTCTGATACAGCTGTCTGGTGATGTACAGCAAACTGGACTGGGAAATTCATTCAGCTGAAAAATAAACTGATGGGAAAAGCTGGTTGTTTCATTCCTTGGTTCACCAGAAGGCAGCACAAACAGCTGTATGGGAAGCAGTGGCCAGTCTTGGGGGTTGCACAAGCTGGTACTGCTGCTTGTCATATGCATGTGGATTTTTGCTGCTAAGCTCGTTTTGTTGCCAGAAGAAAAAACAACATGGAGCTGTGGTGTTGTAGTTTGAGATCCCTTTTCCACGCCTTAGAAGAAATCCTTTGGTTAGTTCACTGGGACAAATACAGGGAGGGAAAGTTTTCCAGCTAGGAGTACCGAGTAGCTTTACTGGCAGGGGCATACCCTGGAATGAAACGGCTTTTGTCTTGTTCTCTTTCCAAACAAGGTGTAACCACCCTCTACTTTGCATCCTTACTTGGGTTACCTGACTTGCCCTTGTGAGCAGGGAGCTCAGATGGAAATCGCACTATAGGAGCATAACTCCTGTGTGATGGTCTCTTCTTAAGCTGCGTCAGCAGCTGACCAGGCAGGGCAGTTTGACAGCTATTTTTCACAGTGAAGCAATATATATGCGTTTGAAATCCTGTTAAGTTGGCTTATTTTAGAAAGCCTCATTATCGTGGTCTGAAAATGGTTTCTTAGGAACCATTCAGTTCTGGGTAATTTACAGCCACTTAAACTAAAAGTTAATTTAGGTAAGCTGACAGTGAATTAGAAGTGGCCAAAGTGTATTGAGCAGCCAGCTGATTTGTTTGGAAAAGCACCAGAAGGCATCTTGGAAAGGTATCTCTTCCTGCGCCGTGGGTGAGGAGCGTGAGCAGGTCAGGTGCGGTTGTGGGAGAACTGCGCTCCCATAGCACGCTTGTGCCCTGCTGAGGCCCCATGCCAGTTCTGCTGCTGGTACTGGGCTTATGCCTCCTGTTGCTAAAAAGGCCATGCTACCCAAGCTGTTTCTAAAAGCCTGGGTTCTGGTGAAGGTAGTAAAGTGTTTTTCTTTAGCTGCTAGATGTTGTGGCACTGTATCTGAAGAATAATGCCATCTTTAAGCAGAATATTTTCTGTGGATATAAGGCAATTATTTTCCTTTGAGAGAAAAATTAAACAATTGTTTTCTGATAGTACTGATCACAGTGTGTGTTATTTCACCTACACAGGTGCCAGCTGTCAACTTGATGTTCAATTATACATCTTCTTTAGAGCAATATAAATAAACATCTGCCTCTCTATCTATGTGTTTTGCCTCGTGCTAGATTTTGTATTTGGCTCTTGGAAAAAGGAGGCAGCTGTCTTACAAAAGTGTTTTCCGTTAACCTTTCTGTATGCTGTCTGCTTCCTTACAGGGTGCGAGGACTGTGGACAGTACCATGATTCAGAGTGTCCTGAGCTAGGCCCGGTGGTGACAGTCAAAGACTCCTTTGTATTGAGCAGGGCAAGGTAAGGAACGTTTGTGTTAGTTCTGACTAACCCAACACCCATGTTAGTTCTTTGAAGTGTATTTGCTGTTTAATGGGTGTCACGCTGACAGCTGAAAACTGAAGTCCCAGTCTATGGAAAGCACATGGCCTTGATTAAATAGAAAAATTGACTCACACACTTAAGTGCTTTACTGAATCGAAGCCAAAAAATACCTTGCTGCTCATCAAGACTTGGCTTCTTTGCTGAGGTTTCTGGCAAAAAGTCAGATAGTGCCAGATGGGGTGGTGACTTCTGTCTTGGTCAAGTACCTGCAGCTTTCTCCCCTCCTCAGATGTATTACTTTCAGAAAAGTGTATGAGGATTTCTTAGTTGTATGGATGGTTGTGTCCTCCTGCTTGGTATAACCTCTGTAGTTCCTCCACTGGGAAACAAAGTCATTATTCTGGGTCTTTACAAATGATTAGGTGTAATGCTTCTGTCAGAAAATCTATGACAGGACGGCAGAAGCGTTCGTGCTTGCCAAAAGAAACAAAGAGACTAAATCTAATTAGGAGAAAACAACACTAAGTAGTGATTTTTACAGAGAAAGGTAATCGGGCATTATCAGTAAAATTCATATTAAGGTGTAAAATGTAAGGCTAAGGAAAAGAAAGAACTATAACGAAGATGCAGTAGAAATCCAGAAAAGGAAGAAAGTTCAAATGGCTTTCTGTATTATGTAATGTGCTTAGGGCTTCCATGTTTCTTCTTGGGAAGTCACTGACAGAAAACACGGGCACGTGGGCAGCAAGTCTGACACATGCTGGCTCTGTAGGCCATGCTGCTTATTCCCAGGATCATTTTGTAATAAAACCTGAATGTACTGGGTCTACCGCACGGGTGCCGTGACCCATCTCTGCCTGGGCAGGATGCTCTTGGTGTGCCACAGCGTATGCTGGCTGTACGTATGCACAAGCCATAGCCATTTTTCTGGGCTTTCCCAGGAAAGGAAGCTCCCTTCAGCTCCTGCCAGGGACCACCTTCCTGTGACTGGAAACCTGCCACGGATCAACTCCTGCAGCAAGTGTTAGTGGTAGTAGTAGTAAGGTAGCAAGTAGTACTATCTTAACAGTCCTGACGCTAGACATGCATTGTTCTTGAAGGTAATTTCAAAATGCCTGTAGGAATGATGGAAACTGGTGATGGAAGTGCTTTTCTTATACACGGAAACGAGGCAGTGCAGTAAGTCTCCAGCCCATACTAAGCAGATTCAATGACAAGTTAAACTATTATTTCCTACCTTTTATCTTTTTTTTTCTTTTTTTTGCCTTGCAATTTAATGCTCTTATTTATTTGTACGTGGAGAATTACCATAATGTCCAGATGTTCCAACTGCCAACGTTTGGAAATACGGTGCGTGCACTGGTTTTCAGCCTTTTCTGACATGCAGATGCGTAAGTGTTCCCTACTGGAAGTGCTGGCTGCTGGGTAGTGGACTTGAAAGCAGGGTTTAAAAAGTGGCTGTGTTACAGAAAAATGTATTTATTTTCCTGAAGAGTTTACAGCTGAAAACAGGTAAGACAAGAAAGGGAAAGAAGAAAAATAATTGCAGCCTTTATTTTACATCTGGGGAACAGTAGCTGAGAAAGTGAGCTGTCTGAGGTTGAGGGTAGGTTTAACCACAAACTGGATATGAATCTCTTAAAAACCAGTCTCCTTGCTTAACCACATGATCATTGTTTCCTCTGTCCTACGGAAAAGATAAAATGGATGCTTTATGGCTAAAAAAGAAGTGTTAAGAAATGTTTCCTGAACTTCACTGTCTCTGTTAGAGAGAAGTGCATATTTGCATATTCTGTTATTAAATCTGAAAGCATTTTTTCAATTTGTTTGCTTATCACTAAGATTGCAATCTTCTTGTGTTGCTCTTCATCTAGACAGGAAAATGTACCTGCCACTGTCAAGTTCTATAGAGTAGTCAGTAGCCTGTCTGATTATTTTTAGCTTTTCATCTGTTAGCACAGAGCTGAAAAAACAGGGTTGCATTTGTTGTCTATAAAACCAGTATGATGGTTCCAGTCATTTTGAAGATGTTCGCTGTGTATTATGTGTGGTATATGTATTTACTACATATAGTTCTTCTCAGAAGCTTGTTTATTAAATGAGAGGCAGGGAGCACAGAAGCATTTTGTGATTAATGTTTGTAATAAGGGGGCTAGAAGACAGAAGGGAAACTTACAGGACTTTAATCTTAGGGCTATGATCTGCATAAGTATGTAAGGTTTTAAAATTCGGGGAGGTATATAGCTTATTTTTTAAAATAAGCATGATCAAAAGCAAAGTTCTGTAGAGTCATAGGATATTTCATTTTGGAAGAGGTCTCAGGATATTCCAGTTTTTTATGCATGTTGTCTTTTCCGCTCTTGCCATGTGCCCCTGCAAAGAGCCTGACTCCGTCTCAGTGATGTCCCAGTAGGTGTGCCTCTCCTCACAGGGTGACTGCTCTAGTCCCTGGCCATCCTGGTGCTCCTCCCTGGGGCTTGCTCCAGTTTGTTGACGTCTATTCCATATTGGGGGCCCAAAACAGGAAGCAATGGGTAGATGGGATCTAGTAAGTGCAGAGCAAAGAGCGACAATCACTTGCTTCATCTGTTGGCTGCTCCTGTTCATACCATTCAGTGTTCATACCAGTGTTTGGCCCTCTTTTCTGCTGGGACCTGCTATGGCCTCATGTCCAGCTTGCTGCCTACACTACCCTGAGGGTCTTTCCCCTGTCCAGTACCATTGCTGGGGCTTTTTCCTTCACAGGTGCAGGACTTTGCATTTGTCCTTGGAATTTCATATGGTTCCTGTCAGTGCATCTCTCCATACTATCAAAGTCCCTCTGGATGGCAGTCCCATCCTCAGACACATTGACTGTGCCCCTCAGTTAGTGTGATCTGCAAACTGGATGAGAGTGCACTCCATCGCCCCTTCTAGATCATTGATAAAGTTGTTAAACAGGACAGGTACCAGCACAGACCTCTGCTGTACCCCAGTTGTTACTGGCTTCCAGGTAGAGTCAGAACCATTGACCATGACACTCTAAGCCTGGCCACCCAGCAAGTTATTTACTGTAGTCATTGTGTACCCATTCAGACTATAACATCCCAACTTGGATACAAGAATATTGTCAAAGATAGCATTGAAAGCCTTGCTAAAGTCAAGGGAAATGACATCCACTGCTCTTCCATCATCCACAACCTTGTCATTTTATTCTGGAAGGCAAATGGTTTGTCAGGCATGAGTTGCCCGTAATCAATCCACGGTGATTGTTTCCAGTCACCTTTGCCTCATGTGCCCATAAATGCCTCCCAAAAGGTCTTGTTCCATGATTTTCCTAGGGACTGAAGTGAGGCCAACCAACCTGTAGTTCCTTGTATCATCCTTTTGGCCTTTTCTGAAGACGGGTGCAACATTTGACTTTCTGCAGTTATCAGACACCTCCCCTGATGCCTGTGATCTTTCCAAGATGATAGAGAGTAGTCTCACTGTGGTATTGGACTGCTCTGTCAGCACCCTCAGGTGCAGCCTGTCAGGCCCCTGGACTTACACGGGTTCAGCACTCTCAAGTAATGACTGACTCAGCCCTCCTTGACTGCTGGTAGTTGTTCTCCTCTGTTTATTTATAAATCCTCACAGAAATCAGAAAAAAAAATTTCTGTCTTCTAACAGAAAACTTTTGCTGACTTCTTTCTTCCATGGATTCCTGCAGATTTGTCCCATGCGTAATTGTTTTTTTCTCAATTCTCTCTTCAATTCTTAGGTCATCTCTGCCTTCTAATTTGGAGATAAGACAATTGGAAGATGGGACTGAAGGAGTATTTGCTCTTACTCAACTAGTGAAACGTACACAGTTTGGCCCATTTGAATCCAAGAGAGTTGCCAAGCTGGAAAAAGAATCCGTTTTTCCCCTGAAGGTAAGACACAACACATGAAAAGCAGTAACAGAGTCAGTTTTGTCCATGATGATTTTATGCTATCTACCACTATGGAAAAAAAAAAAGTGTAGCAGGGTTATTTGGGGCATCTTTTAGGTATGCCCTATAATGGACTACCTAAACAAGCATTCTCTGGGCAAGATACAGAAGAACCAAACTAAAGGCTCATTTTGCATGTTTGAAATGAACATCCTTGTATGAGATAGGGCTGGGATACAGTCAGCAAAACTGCTTGTCTTTCACCTCCTTTAAGTGATGATACAAGAGAGACAATGACTACGGCAGTTCATTTCAGTTGTTTTAATGAGTCTCCTAAATTTGATTATATTTGCTTAATGAGTGACATGTGCATTAGGTTTATGGAACATGCAGAATAATTTTTTTTTTCTGTCTTGCATTTGTTTTATTCTCTTGACAAGTTTTGGTGGGAAAAATGCTATGGTAAAAGTTGAATTCAGTCTTACATTTTCAGTAATACCTAACTAGGAAGTAAAGATTTAGAAATGTGACTGGGGCTGATGGGTGTTTCACAGTGTACTGTTTGGATTCCCCTCCATTCTCCTGTATTCAGTCATTCAAATTTTGTGAGAAATTGGTGGCTATAGCAACAATTCTTAGGATAGAAGTTCAAGTTGTTCCCATCCTGCCCCTGGTAGTCTGTCTCAGGACTACTCATCTGAAGACGTGACTGATACATGAAACGTGCTTGATGCAAGTGTTGAGCTTTGGTTTGTCTCTGATGTATGTTGAATGGAAGTCATTGCAAAAGCAGAAAACAAAAATTCTTCTTAACTTTGTATTATTTGTTAGGGTTTCATTATATGCATATTTTGCTTGGCAGGTGTTCCAGAAGGATGGGCCCCTGGTATATTTCGACACCTCAAATGAAGATGATTGCAACTGGATGATGATGGTGCGACCAGCCACCGAATATGAGCATCAAAACTTAACTGCCTTCCAGCATGACAATGATATTTACTTCACCACCTCCCGGGACATCCCACCAGGAACTGAGCTGCGAGTGTGGTATGCAGCTTTTTACGCCAAAAAAATGGAAAAGCCAGTGCTGAAGCAGGTCACTAGTATTGCCAATGGTATGTGTGGGGGCCTTTTTTCCTTCCTAAGGGCCCAGTCCTGATAGGGACTGATAGTCCCCTACTGTTGTAGTTGACAGTGCTGTTTATCAAATAGGCTCTGACCCTGAATTTTTCAGCCTTTAGAGTCAGGCTAGCCTGCATATACGGTTGCCCTACAAGGAGAAAGCATAGATTCTTCACCATGCTGTAACTGAGTTTTTTGAACACAGATAGCCTAGTTGATGATTCAGCCTCTTCAGAGTGAACAAACTGGATAAAGAGTTCTTAACTAAAGAACTGATGGCTGCATCAGAAACATTACTGGGTAGAAGAGCAAATGAACCCCAAGTGTCAGCATAAATCTAAATGTATCTTTACATTTTACGTTTACATTTACATTACTTTACAGGAAGCCATCCTTCTTCAGTTGTAGTGAAAAAGTTTTGGTTTTGCTCAAAACTGTTATACAGTTCTAAAAACCTACTTTTATCTTACGCAGCTTTACATGGGACCCACTAGAATAAGATAAGCTCAAGAGTGAACTACCATTCCACATGACTGCTTGTACATTGGCAAAGAAAGGCAGCAGGTTTTTTAGAATCCCAAATAGAATTGCCAGAATTCTTTCATTCCTCTGCCCCTTTGTTTTTCTTCTACTTTTTCATTTCTATAGCTAAAAGGCATGATCCTTTAGCATTGCAAGGCCTTTTGCTTTCTGACCTTGAGTTGGGAGTACTCCCCCGAATGGTATTACTGCTATGCTGAGTATAATTTGGGGTGACATATGGCTTGGGGAGAGGCCATTGCCATCAGCATGATTTATGGCTGATCTTGACAGTAAGCACAGTCTTAAGTGCTACAGCTGTATCAATGCGGTTAACAGGTTTCTGAATTCTAAGATGTTTCCATTTGGTATTTACTGAGAGGTTTCATATTTTTCCTCTTTATTTTAACCTGTTTGTGTATTTTTTTGTGCATATGGGTATTTAAAACCATTGTTTAGGTACGTCCTGCGTTCTCCCTTCAGCCTTTTCACTATACACTTCAGAATATGCCAGGCACATTGTATGAGATTCAGGCATAAGAATGTCCTGGTTAGGATTTTACATGAGAATGTTTTTTGCAGGACTGCTATAGGGCAAAACTTTCTGACTATGGTTTCTGCCCTCAGCACAGAGCAAGAGAATCAAAGGGACTGGAAAGTAAAGGAACTGTTTTTCCTCTTCACAGATATGTGCTTGGTAGTGATGGAATCTGATAAAGAGGGGAATAAAATCTCTTCAAAACCTTCACCTGCTGTCTTCCCCCATAAAAAACCAAAGAAATCCAGCATACCAGCAGCTGAGCCAGCAGGTATGCAAAATTATGGTATTTTTAAGGGAGATAGAGGACAGATCTAGATCAAAAGAGCTGTTAGGTATACCACTTCTATGTAGATATTATGGTTATATAATTTTCAGCAAATATTAATTTAGAGAGGATTTGAAAGCCTGGATTTTTCTTTTTATTTTCATAGGCATGGTGCTTAAAATACATATGCAGGTTAAAAAGTGACAGAGGAGCCAATAAACCCTTAGGCAGGTGATTTTCATGAAAACCACAACTGCTTCTGACTTTGGAGGTGGTTAGTGTTGGGGTGGGGGTGATTCCAAAGAAAATACCTGTGCAAAGTGTAATAGTTCAAATGGTCAAATTCTAGAAGAAAACATGAGATTCTGAGTGAATGTAAGAACAGTGCTGTTTGGAAATGACAAGAACACTGGCCATCTCCAAATTACAGTAATACCAAATTCTGTTAGAGACTATCAGACTGTACTTGATTACAAGAACTCAAATTTAGATAAACTTATAAACAATACAGATACTCTTGGCAAAGAACACATGGCTCAGGAAGTAACTAGTGGTGTCACAGGAACTCTGTCCCCAAGGTTGATTATGAAGCAATGCCCCTCCACCTTGTAATCTCTGATAAGTGGAACAATGACACTAAGAACTCACTTAACCCAAATTGCCATGTCTAAAAGTAAACTCAGAGTACGTTGTGTGGAGATTGGGATCAAAAGACAACTGTTCTGGGTCTGTTCTTTGAAAAGGTTACTTTGCTAAATTTTACCTACTAAAAGTAGCCAGGAGGAGGAGAGTTGTTGCAGATGTGTACAGAGTGATTCATCCGAAGATCTGTTCATTTAACTTGGATACTGTCATGGCTAAAATGTGAAGTTGACTGGGGAGATGTCTTTCAGTTTGACATCATTGATTCTTCTGGGGGGGAAAAAAAACTGTGAAGAATTTGACCATCCCTTCCTACATCCTACGGTCTAAAAGTCCAGCTTCAACAGAAACAAAATGCTGCCTGTTATACTTTGGGAACCCGAAAGTGTTCCCACTGATGTAGTATTTTGGTGTTCCCCAAACAAAATATGCCTCTCTTGATTCTGACTATTTGCCTCAAGTTGTGCAAGTCTCTTGCCAACTGACAGATCTGTGCTTCCAAGTAAACTGGGTTGCCCTGCAGCCACCCTGGAAACCTGAAGAAGTGGGAACCTAAACAGGACCTGACTCTTCCTGGCAAACCAGTGTACAACTAGGGTTTCTAGGTTTACTGCTTGCGGCAGCTAGGGAGCAAGGGAAGTGCAGAGTCAGGGACAGTTTTCCAAGACAGACTTCAGTTTTGCAGATAGTCATTTTTCCGTTTTACTAGCCTGCAACTTCATGAGACAGATACAGTAGCTTATGTGTGACTTACCAATCTGACTTTTTTTTTTTTTTTTTTATGTTATGCAGAATCTTGGGGGTTAGGTTTGCTGGTTTTGGCCTCCCAGACAGAGCTCTCAAGAAGTTCTTTATGTAGCCTGTGAAGAAGGAATCTCTGTTGCTGAATTGTCTAGTTATTTAGTTATTACAGCATGGATGAGATCACACCCCTGTAGTACTGAACATTGAATGTAATTTGTAGCAGGGAACAACCTCTGCCTCAGAGAATCTTTTATTTCGGTTTAAGAGTCAACAGTGAAAAGGAGGAAGTTTATCGCCCATTACAGGTGGGGTCCTCAGGCAGAGAGATTAAATGGCTTGCTAATGATCATACAGGAAATCTGTGGCAGAAACTGAGGTACAGTTTGAATCTCCTGTGCTGCCATTCACTTAACCTAATTTCAGTGTCATCCTCCTCCTCTGGGGGAGTCTTGTAGACTTTGGGATATTCAGCTTTGTGCGTACCAAAAAGAAATCTCTGAACCAGTCCAGATTTATCAGATCCTCTCGACAAATTCAGATATATCATCCAAAGACTTAAAGCAATGGACTGTGAACAGAGTAATCGTTTTCCTCTCCTTTTTTTTTTTCATTCCAGTTCCATTTTCACCCCAATTTCTTCTTTATTTTCTTTATCTGGCGTGAGCTGACATGTTCATTAGAACATGAATATAGTGGTTTCATAGAACACCTAATTAATGAAACTGCTCAAAACCAGGTTTTCATTGTCCTCACCCTTACCTCTGTTAATCCGCATGTTCTTACTATGCAATGCTCTTCACAGAGAGCAAGGAGGCTTCTCCTGCTTCTGTCCTCAGCCTATCCAGAAGAGGACTGGTAACCCTGGTTTTAAAGGTGCTAAAATTTGCTTTATGTCATGCCTTTGATAACCACAGTTCTTTAGAAGGTGAAAAGGGACTCTGAAGACTTTGCAAGAGGACCAATATTCTCTCTTGGCATCATGTAGTTTCTGTTCTGACTTCTCATCTGTTCTGTTGTTTCAAGTATTCATGTTTGGAAAATCCTGAAGTGTCCCAGCTGCCCCCATGGGCCTCTTACTGCTTAAATAGGAACTTGTGATACCCAGGGAGTTGTTGCAAGATAAACAAAGCTACAGGGATTTACCACCTTCCTATTTTCAAAGCTTTTCAGTGTTTCTTCTTGTGATTTAGTGAACACTCCAGAAGGCAGCGGAGCTGCAGAAGCAGAGTCCAGCCAGTGGACGTGTAAAGTGTGTTCATCTGCTTTCCAGGGGCCTCAGCTGCTGACAGGTAAGAAGTGCTAGAAATTCATGGGAGAGTACTGAGAAGCATCAGGAGAATTCTGCTCTGCCAGGGTAGGCCACTGTGAAGCCATACCCTGTCCATGATGCAGTAAGATAAAGGTTTTAATTTTTGTGTTCCTTTAAGAAAAAGAGTAGCGAGGAAGGTAAAACGGTGATATTTTGGATATGGCAGTGGTCAATCTCTGGGCAACTATGATGTTGAATCTAGAAGAAATAAAACTGTCTAGAAGATGACGTGAATGTTAGGAATATCAAGGATGGGAAACTGCATGAGCAGTGTATAAGATCAGTGATGCCAGCTTATACTTAGTGATACTGTCTGTCTGGTATTTATGGCACAGACTTAGTAAAGGTAAGAAATAAGTTTATTTTTTTTTCTGCATTTCGTTTGCAGCTATTTTATGCAATTTTCAAAAGAACTTAGAATATCTAAGAGCTCTGACCATTTGATGAATCATTTTTTAAAAGGGCACTTAGGCTGCTAAATAACTTGGGCATTTGGAAAAATATACCCATTATCAGGGGGCACAACCTTTTTCCAGTGATATCTAACAAATCTCTTTCAAAATCCAGTCCCTGTGAGTAGTCGTTTCAATGTTTAATAGACTGCATGCTTTTATTTAGGAAGGTATTGTGGCTGCTTTTGAAATAATTTGAAGTCAGTCTCTCCTAAGTGAGATTGACCTGATAGATGGGCTTCAGCTGATCTACTTCATACTTCAGTTGGGTATTTCATGACAGTTTCTTTCCTCCTCACTCTCTTTTTCTTTCCCATTCACCCAGAGCACTTGCTGAGTCACCTGGAACAAGCTAAAGGTGCCCCCCAAGCCAGCCAGAATGAGGCTGTTGCAGAGAAAGCAGCAGAGGTTCCCCCTGTGGATCAGCCAGTAGTTTGTGATGCAGCCAGTGCCAGTACAGACTCAAGGAGGAAGGCCAGGCGGGGTAGAAAACCCAAAACAGCAAAAGCAGAAACACCTCTTGTCGTCGTTGAAGAGAAAGATTCTGCAGGTAAAACAAAACTTAAGAAAATGCTGAGCACGTATCCTCTCATGTGTCTGTATCGATGCCTTCTCAGAAAGGCCTAAGAAGAAGCAGAGACAAGATGGAGGTTTTTAGTTAGATCACTAAAGCAGACGATTTACAAACATTGTAAATTATCTCTGAGGTCCTTGTCTACGCTAAATGCTGCAGCACCTACGCTTAGATTACCTGCATTCTCCTGTGATGGTTTTAGTAATAGAGTGGCACAGGAGAGAGACACACAGGGTAGTGGTTAAGAGACCTGCCTAGCTTTCTGTGAGAAGGAACAGGAGAGAAAGCATCCTCCTTCTCAAGAGGAGATGCCTTCCTCTCTCTGCCTTAAGGTTTATTCTTGAAAGGGGCTTTTTTTCAGGGCCTTACCTTCCTTTAATGGAAGTTCTAGTAGGAAATTTCATGATGCATAGTAAACTGACCCTTTAGTAATAGGTTGGAAAGGTAAGAAATTATGCCTTCATAAAAGATGTTGGCTACATCCTACCTGTCATTCAGTAGCCACTTTCTCTATCTTGCAAGTGCTACCAACTCATTAGCAATCCATTATTTGTCATGGACAAATAATCGTTAAGTGCCACAGCTCATTACAAAAGCAAATTCCTGCATTTGAAGTTTCATTTTTAGCTGTCCACATTAACACTACTTTTTTGGCGTGTTTGCAGCAGAACGTGTAGCTGACGTTGTAACTGAGGTCCCACAGGAAGAGGTGGCCCTGCCTCCAGCTGCAGAAGAGAGAATTATGGAACTGGTTTTAGGAAAGATGCCTAGCACCACAAATAGCATCAGTTCAGTGACAAAGTAAGTGCTCTGGGATGCAGAACTTCCTCTTAGGCTTAATTAAGGTTATGTAGCATGTAACAGCTCTGTTCAACTTCTGGGCCCACAGATGCTCTTTTTTATTACCATAAAATGTGAGATGATGATGATGCTGACTTTGAGTGCCACAAAGATGGCTTGTGCACTGGAGGAGGGTGCACAGATGGTGAGATATTGGTGGTAGAATTTTGGAGCATAAGCCATGAGAATTTCATTTTCCATCATGTTACTGCTTTAATTCAGTGTGATTCCAAAAGCCTCCTGCAGCTGCAAGGTGAAATATTACTCCCCTTGAATATTGGTGATAAAACAGGCAAAAAGATTTTTGCTAAAAAAATGATGCTAACCATTATTATTCAGTCTTGCTTGTCATCTTAACTCACGAATTACTTCTTGTTGATTTGTGCCTGTGATACTTCAGATTTAGAGCAGTGGGAGGGGAAAACTTCAGTATAACAGAACCCTGGGGAGACTCTTAAATATCACTTGATTAAATTAGGTTCTTTTATGTCTTTTTGTCTCAGTAAAATTGGCTTTTTGAATTATTTTTTGTATAATAAAGGACTTGGTTTTTCAAAATTAGCTGGTAAAGCTATATATTGAAGTCCTTAGCAGACACAGAGCCTTCAAAAATGCATTCCAGCGGGTGGTTGTGCTGGGAAATAGAACAGTGCTGCTTCTTGGCACCCTGCTGCCCTCTTATCATATACGCCTTTTGCATGCGAACTGCCAAGCTTTCTAAGCTGAAATAGCACTGATGTTTTCAGAGGATAAGCAGAACAGATCCTTTGTGTTCCTCTGAGGGGCCTGCAAAGAGAATCTCTGAGGCTGGTGGCTGCTGCTTTTTTCCTTGTTTGTGCTGGGTGAAGATAATTTGGAGTGAGACACCCTCTGACATCTGCTGCTTCTAGGGGTGGCCAGGAGGGCGCTTTGGCAAAGAGGAGGAAGTTCCAGGCCCCCTTCTCATGCCAGAAGCTGAGCTTAACACTCCTCTAGCTTTTGCCAGCTGGTGGGACTCTTTCTTGCAACCTGTTGGGATACCTTTCAGTCCCTGCCTTTCTTTCTCTAATCCAGTAGGTTTGCTCATCACCAAAACACCATGTCCCTCAAAAGAAGTTTAATTCTCTCCAGTAGACATGGTATACGGCGCAAGCTGATAAAACAACTTGGGGAGCACAAGCGAGTCTATCAGTGCAGTATCTGCAGCAAGATCTTCCAGAACAGCAGCAACCTCAGCAGGCACATCCGTTCTCACGGTGGGTTTGATTTTGCCTCGCTTGCGTATTGATTTTTGTCTCTTGGTGGTTCCACTTTTTAGTGAAAGAGCTATTCTTAGATATTGGGATACATAATTTTAATAGAACTCCTTTTTTTTTTTTTTTTTTTTTTTAAAAACTCTAGGGAACTCTTTTAGTTATGCAGACCAAAGCATGAGACAGTAATAGCTGAAAGTTGAAATTAGAACACTTAAAATTTCAATTTAGGTACATATTTTAAATGAGGGTGAGGATGTGATGGTTTTTCCAAAACTGTTCTTCCCTTTGAATATATACATATGTATCACTCCCCATCTTCAGAGCCACGTGGGTAACATTGCTGTGTAAATTGCAGCTGAGTGCTTTTTAGCTTGTGATCTGCAGTTCCAGGAGTCCGTGACCTACTTCTAAGGATTCCATGAAAAGTAATCACTGAAAAAGAGGGGTGGAACCAAAGAAAATAGTTGTCAAAATTGTTACAAAAGGTTAAAATCTAGTGTTTGGATCTCTTGAATTACTGAAGCTTTTCATTAGTAGCTTGATTGTTTGCAGTTGCTTGTGCTTTGGTTTCCCTTGTCTTGCCTGGAGTTGATTATTATCAGTCGCTGACTACTTTTTTTTTTATTATTTTATCTTGATTGATCCCCTCAGGTGACAAACTATTTAAATGCGAGGAATGCGCAAAGCTGTTCAGCCGTAAAGAGAGCTTGAAGCAGCATGTTTCATACAAGCACAGAAGGAAGGAAGAGAGAGGAACTAGCGGGCTCTTTCTGAGGTTAGGTGAAAATGTACAGTGAGCTTCCAGGTGCTAGCTGGGGAGCTTGGGTCAATCATATTTGAGTGGGTATCTGTGTGAATAAATGAGACAATACTGAGAGGGACAAGTAACATCTTCTGTTAGAACAGTTAATGAATTTGCAAAGTGTGGACATGCTTTTCAGCACGCAAGTCCTTTTTTGCGTCTCAATTTCCTATACAAAGTTGTTTTCAGGCATCAGTTACAGCAAGACAAGGTGGGGTTAGCTGGACCTACATAATCTATCAGTGAGATCTGACTTCAGTTTATGGTACTAAGTAGGATTGTTCTAGTCTTGTTTGCTTGTCCTGTTTCATTTATCCGCACCTATAGTGTCATTTAATGTGTGAACTCCTTGGGTAAAGGCTGTGTCACTAAGGGCTACATGCACATGTGCTTACAGTAGCGGCCTGTTGGTGAGGGCCTTTCAGTGCTGCTGCCATATAAATATTAAACATGCCTGTAGTGGGGCCTTATCAGTGAATATTTCCATTGCTGCTTGGCATCAAGGTCCTAAGCTCTCAGATTCTGGAGAAGCATCTGTTCTGGAGCTAGAGGATGAGTCAGGTTACATCTTGCTTCTCAAAAATTCTGTCTCTCTGTTGGACCGGGCGTTATCAGGAAGACTGTTAAACGCACACAGGTGCATGGTCTGCTGTTTTTTGAGGGTTTTTTAATGGAGCTCAAATGTAGGAACATGGCAGCGTCAGAATTTTGCATCAATGTGTATTTAAACATCCTGTTGAAGGAATAAAAATTGGAAAAGACAGAAAAAGTAGTTGAGATTTAGAATTTCTCTGTCAGATGTGACTTGGCTTTTCCCCCCCATAAACACTTACTGTTTGCAATCCTCAGGTTGACAGTGAGTACAGATACAAGTGCACCACATGTGAAAAAGCCTTTCGGATAGAGAGTGCATTGGAATTCCATAACTGCAGGACAGGTGAGAATGGCTAACCGTTCTGCTTCCTCTGGCATCTCTGCTCTGTTTTGGAGGGATGTCCACAAATCCATCTCAGCATAGAAACTGCAGAAGGGGAGTAGGAATTTAGGTTTTTGTCATCATCACAACAAGCAACCTGCCCCGCTTCCCTCAAGAAAACCTCTTTTTGTGATAAGGAAAGTGTAACCAGTAATTGTAGAGCAACACATCTGCTTCTGTATTGCTTACTTTAGTATCTCCTGCTCACCTAATATCCTCACTGGTATTTCATTTGTAAGTTCACAGATACCCTGTCACCATCTCTGTTTAATTTTCTTTCCTGAAACTAAGTTTCACCTTATTTCTCCGAAACAGAGGAACTGGAAAGGGGGCCAGTGCTATCAATAGTTTGCAGTTTTCTGGGATTACAGTTTTCTTCTGCTTTCTTTATACTCACAGTAGTCTGTTAGATGTTTTTTTTATCACTAGAACCTGGCCTTTTCTCCCATATCCATCCCTCCTGGTTACTCATTTATGCTGAATGATCTTATGCTTAGAAAATGACATCCTGATTACTTCTATGGATGCATGATAACTGTCAGTCCAGAATCACCTGGGTAACTGCCGTTTACAGCACCATTCAAAGCAGGTTTTCTCATTTCCTCTCAGAGGGTACAGCTTGTATAAAAACTCAGCTTTATGAAGAGTGGAAAGTAATGCCAAGTAACCTCAGTATTCTGTTTACTCAAGGGCAGCAGCTCGTTTTGTCTCTGAGTTGACCAAAATGAGCAGCAATTTTTGCTCTACTCTTCAAGGCATCAAACTGTTACTTCTTTATGATTGCTGCAGCACTGGCAGATTCCATCTACAGGACCATATTCTAAGAAAAGTCTCAACTACTGAATACAAAACAAATTCCCCATAGGCTTATTGTCATGTAATGGTATATTTTTGAGTTTTTATACTTTCTTCTGGAGTCTTCTGTACTGTCTGGTATTAGGAGCCAGTGCTGGCAGAAGTATTCTGGTGCTTAGACACAGCTGCCCATGCAGTGCTGTGTGTCTGTATGTGTAGTGATTTTTACAGACATTAAGAACTTGAATCAACTGTTACAGAATCCACTCCAAACATAATTTTAACGTATGCTAGACCACAACGGAAGTCGCCCATGTAAGGATGTTACAATGCTAGATTCCATGTTCAAATTAGCACCATATATATTTATTGCCTTTGAAAAAAACTTTAAAGTACAAGAAAACACATGCTTTTGCATTTCCCTCCTCAAACCATATAAGGATAGATTATATGATAAAACTCAGATCTAACAAAAGAACTACCTGTCTCGCAAACGTTCAAAACCTGTTTCCATCTTTAAAGAGCTGCATGGTTTCTCTTGCTTGCAGATGACAAGACATTCCAGTGTGAGATGTGTTTCAGATTCTTCTCCACAAACAGTAATCTTTCAAAACACAAGAAAAAGCATGGGGATAAGAAGTTTGCCTGTGAAATCTGCAATAAGATGTTCTACCGGAAGGATGTCATGCTAGACCATCAAAGACGACACTTGGAAGGTAAGTATACTGCAGATCAACCTAATTATTACCCTTGAAACGGCAGGAGAGGTGAGAAGGTTAAGGAAATGATTGCGCATTAGAGTCTTCTGGATGGTAGCTGTCTTTTTTTTTTTTTTTTGTCAGTTACCTGATCTGGAGTAGCAGGTTTCAGCAAAATGTGACATTTATTAAAAATAATAGCAATGGATCCTAGAGGGGAGTTGTCTAATTCTATGAAAAACTTTCTAGGAGATGCACCTACCTTTTTTTTCAGCCTTATATGATTAGATCCAGTGCTACTAACAGCCATGTGAAAGTTGCTTGGCTTATTATGCAATAGCCCAGACTAGCTGATTTTAATTATATCTTTTTCTTTCTTTAAATTCTATTCTTTCTTTTTTAAAAAAAAAGTGTTGTAACTTGAAAATTTGAAGGCAGAGAATTAACTTGCAATGTACAACTGAAAGTGACAAGCGTATAAATATAGTGTAAATGGAATGCTGTGTGATGTTATCTTTCAATATCTTGAGAATATATGAAAATGAGATTGTAAGAGTTTACTGTTCAAAATCTCAAACATCTAAGGGTGTTACAGTTACTCAAAGACTCTAGAAGAACTTGGTTAACAGTAGATTGCCAAAATGTGTATTAAAATGCCTCTGTTGATCCAGGTGCTAAAACCAAAGGTGATTTTAAAAAAGCAGCCGGATTGTCTAATTTGGTGCTTTGGGCATAGCCGACTGTCACTGGCTACTCTTGTGATTCAGACCTTGATGTCATGAACTAGAGGACAGCTGGAGGACAAGGGGTTGAATGGCAATGGCAGGGCATCTCATGTTTAGCTGTCACAGAACAACAGCAGCCCTCTTCCCTCCT